TTCCAGGTGATATTGCCTAATGGGTCAAAATCTGATGCTATTTTTCAACTGGGATAACAGCCCCAACAAATTTGTCAGGTCCTTGCTGGATATTTTTCCTTTTTCCTAAGCACATGAATTACCGCTATTGTTAATCTGCTGTACATATCTTTTCTGTTCTGCCACGTATGCTGCCATGATTCATAGGTCAGTGTAAGTGTTAATGTTGTCTTAAAAAACATTCTTCTGAAAACTGTCAGGTAGAAGGACTGGACTGAAAATGAGCTAAAGTCTGAATAAAGACTTTGAAAGACTCTTCAGAAAGCCTGGAGAGATACTGGTTAAGATTCATCCCATATGAAGAAATTAAATATTTCTTATTATCTATTTTGAAATCCTTACTGCAAAATTTCAACAACAATAATAGCAGTGAATAGTGTTCAACTTTAGTGTCATCTCTATCATCTAAACCCCAAAGACACACTGCAATATTAAACAGAAATAAGAAGAATAAAACCCATTAAACAGCAGGTAAGGATTATACCACAGAAGTTAATGTGGCCTTAAGGTAGCAACCCAACTCTGTGGGCAAGTGTACTTATTGTGAGATTAAGCAACAGCTAAGTACTCAGTAGGTAAACAGAAGTACTAGCTACCATCAGGAAATGAAAAGGTAAATGCTTCCTTCCAATATCTGCTTGTTTCAAAGTTGTGGACGTGTGGTCTTACAATGTGTGTTACTAAGCTTTTACATCACTTATTCCAATAAATTGTTTAAGCATTGCTTTTTATAACACCAGATGTATTTGAAAGGGATCACTAAAATAAACTGAGCTTCCTTAGCATTAGCACCCATTAGCTTTCCAGGCTACAGCGAAGTTAGCAACATGCAGTACTGAAAGCTTAGCTGTAAATTTAGCGGGTGCTGTCTCTTGTGCAATGATGGAGAGAAATCAGGAGCTAAAATTACAGCTATGTTAGCAATATAAACTTAAAGGATGCGCATGCTTTGTCAACTTGCCGTAATTTATCATATCAGTTGCACCTAACTAGCCTGATGTTACCCAAAGAACGTTAATGCTAAATGCTAATGTTCTGCTAGTAGTCACATAAACTTGAAAACATTCTTTAAGATTCATATTTTGGGCGTGAATGCATCCATTCACTTGTGCTAGCAGAGTTCATTTTCCACCTCCAAGTAATTCATTCATTGCCTGGTAAATAAGATTGAACTAAACTTCAAGTGCAGCCAAGATTAGCCTGCTGGAAGGAGTGTGAAACCCTTCATATGTTTTCACTCCCCAAATAACGTGAAGCCTTGAACTTGTTAAAATTCAAAGCTGCTGCTCTCCTATTTTACTGCATGTCCAGGTCGGCGTAAGTGCAGACCATTCATATTTTTTGATATTGGATTAAGAGATTATAGAAAATTGCTGATGATAAAACAACTGCACGCATATAACTTTCAGTAGCGTGTGCGTGGCTGTGACAGTTCTCTTATTGTCATACTAAAAATGTTAAATCGAGGCCCACAGGATTAAAAAAAAAAAGAAGAAGAAGAAGAAAGGAGAAAAAAAACTTTGACACCTCTGATTTGTCCAGTGATCGAAAAGCCAACAAAGCTCTCGCCGGTTAACTTTCTGCCTGGAAGCTAAAGCATTACTTTCTGTGAAAATACGAGAAACAAAGTCATCTATTTTTATGTTACTGGGAGCAGAATAAACAAGACACACAAAAGAAACCCTTTGTGACAGAAACAAACAAAAAAAGAGCGAGAACTGGTACAAGCAGTTATGTAATGTGATGAAAGGTAGCAGTCACAGACGGTACAAAACTCACGGATGACTTCTAAATGCAGAACACCAAGCTGGGGGTTCGCGTCAAACTCAGGATCTAATATTTCATGGCACTTACGGCATACGTGCAGGATTAAACGGCTAGCTGCCAATTATCTTACCAAGCAACCCTCACATATTACAGCACAACATTTCTCTCCTGTTTAACAGTAACACAAAAGTGACACCCCAATCTCTTAAAGCACCAAATAATCTCAGGGAAGCCCCCCCTTTGTTAAGCCATGTGTTTTACTCAAGGACATGGGACATAACTATACAGCCCAGCATCCCTTCCATTGCAAGACTGCACCGCTGTATGGAGGATCAGGAACACCTTTGAACACATCCACAACAATGAACAGATTTAGGGGCTACTCAGTTCATCACAAAAAAAGAAATAAGACTCAGTTTTATTTTGCCTAACATTTTTATGACTCATCGTACCATCCATCGCTCACGTATGAACTTGAGCATACACACATACACACGCACGCCTGCTCGTATCAATTAATTCTCAAAATAACACTTGTGCCTTGAAATACACACGTCCCGAAAGTGTCAAAGCTTGATTAAACAAGGGTGTTTAGATGATTATGTTCTAATAATATTTGTGCCTTTGCAGTTCTATTAACCCTGTCGACCCAGACTGCAAAACAAAAAGAGGTCAACAGACAGCCTATATAAGTAATTATTTAATAATAATAATAATATTGCCATTTTTCACACATTTTGCTTCCTTCATAAGGGTGGATGCTGAGACGTGCAGCCGTGGTATCGCTGTCCTCAATGTAAGAGAGAGGAAAAAGCTCAGTTTGTTGTAAGGAATGCTGAGATGATGGAGGGTTTTAATCGAATCATCTGTCTTGCTCCCATTTTTTTTCTCCCCTCTGTTAGAAGTTGTTTTAACGACAACACACGCGCAAGCTTCTCTGAGCCAAAGTTCCCAGAATCCACTGCAATTCAAGGTCAACTGACTCTTTTTCTGGCACTTGGCAAGCGCACTTTTTTTCTTGTGCATTATATGAAAACAATACAGCTTAAATAGCACACAGGTGCAAAAGGTAACTGCTTGCATGAAGTAGGTAAATTTAAACAAAAAAGAAAAGGACAGATCAGTTTATTTAAGCATTTAAGTTTTTGAACAGCAGACAGGTGCTACAGACTTCGAGAGTTTTTCCCTCAGCATTGTGTAACCTGCTGTTTAAATATCACTTATGTACTTAGAATAAATCCCGATTTAGTGAAAGCTTTACAATGCATCCTTCTCCAAATTTCATTTCCATCTCATGTCACAAAGAAATCTAAATTCATCCGGATAATCTCTACACAAGTATCAAATTGCAGTGCGGTGTCTTTTGCCCTCAAGTGTCATTGGTGGGGGGGCGGGTGAAAGTGAAATGAAGCAACACAGCGATTTCGACTGTTTTTATCCGGGAAGTATTTGATGTTTAAGCCTTCAAGCGAGGAAGGAAAAGAAAAAAAAGAATTCCACTTAAGAGTAAATGTGAGGACACTTGCACAGGGCTGCCGTACCAATCCTGAAGTCATTTACTTGGCGTGGTTTACCTCATCAAGCTGCGTGCGTTTGTGCGCTTCACGTGACAGTTTGTTTTTTTATGTGAGAAATCTTTAACTGCAGGAGAAAAAAAAAAGAAGGAAAACCGCTCCTGAGATTTTCCGAAGCATTTGGTTGTCAGACTGGGAAACAATTTGTAGAGCTTAACCCAGAATTACACATTTGATTCTGTTTTATTAATCCCACAGTGGAATACAGTATGCCAGCCCTGCACAGCAGTGACGAGTGAATCATACTGATGTACAATCAGTTTAGCAGTTGAAAGTGCTCCATCCTCAACGCCCACAGAGTTTTGATTATTTTTGAAATAATGAGCGTGTGCGATGGAAGACAGTAAAGCATATGTTTGGCATCACCAGTCACATGCTGGAAGATCTAAGAGATAAGTGAGGAGACAATGGTTCTGTTTGAGAGAAAGGCGTTAGAGTAACATCTAAAGCTGCGTGGAATGACTGAAAGGGATGAATGTGCCCATACCAGAGGAGACATCCGAGGTCATTTCTAGCAGCCAAAAATACTAAAACTAACGTCTGCACATAGGGCTGGGCGATATGACCCAAAATTCATATCTCGATATTTTTTACCTGGACGGCGATATAAGATATATATCTCGATTTTTTTTTTT